TTAATATGGGATTTAGAAAGCAATTAGTAATGAGTAGTGAATGTTTTTAAAGAGAGTAATTACGTAGAGTCTCAGTCATTCATATTTATGGGGCTGAACTTTGGCAGGTTCCCAGCTGTTTGCTTTTTAAATAGCGGAGATACTATAATTGATTTAAAAGATTTCATTTGAGATCAATAATAAATTGATTCAAATATATTTAAATAGCTATGATAGGGACAAATAACCAAAAAATAATAATCACGATGATTTGAGAGACATGAACTTTGGATGGACGGATAATTATATAATGGCCAGAAGGATAGATAAATAATGGATAGATGGATAAAACAACAGATGAACAATGGGCGGATGGATGGATGGACGAACAGATGTATAGATATAATTTACACTAAATAATAAAACTAAAATTTATGTATTTAACATCGCTAAACCATTTTTTTTTAATGCAATGCAAATGATTCAGTTGAACCAGTGAATAGTTTTTTAAGCAGCTCATTAAAATGAACCATCTGAGTAAATCAACTTGCTTAAATGAATCAGTCTTCCAATTCTAGTAGAGCGCGTTGATTATTCAAACTTCAGCTCGCTTGGTTGCAAGGCTGCATGCATAATATAATGTGATATAAAAACATCACATCAGCGCAACAATTTGTCACGCTAAATTGATTCTTGTTCAACTTGGGGCCTAAAAGTCTGAGAGCACCAATGAAAATATATCTTTTGTTGTTTTTTTTTTCTAATTTAATGCCAGAAGTTGTCATTACAAATTATTATCAGCACAGTAACGAGTGTGAATTACCCGCATAAAAAAAATAAATAAAGTCTTATTATTTGTTTCTTCCCTGAATTAAACTTTATGATCATGTTCTCAAGCATTATTCTATAAAAAAGCAATACAATCTAATCATATTTACAAAGAGCCACAAGATCATTTTATTTTGACTCAGAAATAACGCAGAAATGAAATTTCAAAGGAAAACTCCCCTGATATTTTGTTACAAGCCTTGAAAATGTAGTTAACCTAGTACTGTCACTACTTTTAGTTGGTTAATAGAGCAGAACAGAGCGGCTCTGACAGCTATAGTGAATAATCTGAGAACGTCTCTCGAACATCCCATCAGTGATGCATAAGGATGCGTCCACCTCCAGATCCTGCTTGATTTGAAGTATCTATAAGCAATATTTTGTTGATGACAGGTTGGTCCTGTGAGGAGCTTCCCCACTATGATTCACTGAGCATCAGGGCGCTCCGACGAGGATCATTATCGTTCATTTTCATCATCCTGAGACACAGCGGGTCATTTTCGGCGGGCCTCTTCAGAGCGGAGCATTAGTTAAACAAGCACAATGGCGGTGCTTCATCTGTACGTCCCCCTCGTTATCAGACGACTGGACGTGAATGTTATTTTAATTCCTGCATTGGTTAAGATTCCCTCTCCCTACCAGCTGTGACCACCGACGGCTGCGGTAATATTCAGAGCTTCTTGATGTCACACAGCCAGCAGGTTTTCACCACGAAGCCTCATTTAGACGATCCGCGTGTTGTCTGGACCGCTTGGCCTCTTTTGGATTCATTAGCAGGCAGATCAAACTTTTAATGCTCCGCTTTTGGTCATATCTGATTTTGAGGGGCACCATTAACAAAGAGCATCTATGCAGTCACAGTGAATAATGCATTACATTTTCTGTTTCTGCAGAATGCCAATTAGACCTGCTTTTGAACTCCACTTGGGTGAGGAAAAAAATTACCTCAGCAGCTTTAGGCTTTGAGAGATCGAAGCAAACCATAAACTACTGAATATTTCAATACTTCAGCAACCCCTGCTGAACAACAAACCATTTTAACTTCAACTGCACCACAACAGTGTCCTGATAAGATGATCAAATTTTCTTATTTTCATGCATCTCAAAACACAGGTAATTTCCTACACCCTAGCAACCACCTAGAACACCCGAGCAACACCATAGCAACCACATAGCACACAATTTTAAACACTTTTAAATGTCCTAGCAACAGAAAACCCAAGCAACCACCTAGCAATGCCTAGAAACTGCCTGGCAACCACTTTGCAATGTCCTAGCAACCACCCAAACAACAGTTTGCAAGAAACCACTTTTAAATGTTCTAACAACCACCTGGAAAATCCCTAACAACCACCCAAAACACCATAGCAACGCCTAGAAACTGCTTAGCAACACATATCAGCTACTTTGCAATGTCCCAACAACGCAACCACCCAAAACACCATAGCAAGTACCTAGCAAACAATTTGCAAGTAAACTCTTTTAAATGGAAAACCCTATCAACCACCCAAAACACCAAAGCAACCATGTAGCAACGCCTAGATACTGCCAGGCAACCATTTTACAATGTCATAGCAACCACCCAAAACACCATAGCAACCACCTAGCAAACAATTTGCAAGCTACCACTTTTAAGTATTTTAACAACCACCCAAAACACCAAAGCAACCACTTAGCAACGCATAGAAACTGCCTAGCAACACCTAGCAACCATTTTACAATGTCCTAACAACCACCCAAAACACCATAGCAACTACCTAGCAAATAATTTGCAAGTAAACACTTCTAAATATTCTAACAACCACCCGGAAAACCCCAGCAACTACCCAAAACACCACAACAACCACCTAGGACACAATTTGCAAGCTACCACTTCTAAATATTCGAACAACCACCTAGAAAGCCCTAGCAACCACCCAAAACACCAAAGCAACAACCTAGCAATGCCTTTAAACTGCCTAGCAACACCTAGCAACCATTTTACAATGTCCTAGCAACTACCCAAAACACCATAGCAGCTATCTAGCAAACAATTTGCAAGTAAACACTTTTAAATATTCTAACAGCCACCCGGAAAACCCTAGCAACCACCCAAAACACCATAGCAACCACCTAGCAATGCCTAGAAATTGCTTAGCAACCACTCTGCAATATCCTAGCAACCACCCAAAACACCATAGCAAACAATTTGCAAGTAAACACTTTTAAATGTTCTAACAACCACCCGTAAAACCCTAGCAACAACCCCAAACACAATAACAACCACTTTGCAATGTCCTAGCAACCACTCTGGACACCCAAGCACCATGACAGCAAGTTTTGCACAGGAAAGCAACACGATTTCATCATACATTCCCTAAAAACAAAAATACGCATTACAATCTTGCTTTTAAATGTAACACTATCTTAGTTTAATGACATTCAATGCACATATATTTTACTAGAAATCAAGATGAAGACACCGATTAAGAAAGTGATTTATTGCAGGAGAATGCACAAGCAGTACGTCACACAGAAATGAATGTAAGTGAGCATGAAGACAGCGACGTCTCCCCTCACTTACTCTGTCACGTAAGCAGTTGTCGTTTTGCCTCCGTATCTAGATCCAAACACAAAGCGTGACTGCTGACTGTGAGCCCCATCTGCGTGACTTATCGACGGTCGTAACGGGCGGCGCATTGACGGCTGAGGCGTGACGTGGTTTTGGACGGAGCACTGTACAGCGGATGAGTGGGAGAGACGGTGAAAAACGAGCGCATCGTCATAGCATCCCATGAATTATGAGAGGGGCATGAGGCGGTGCTGACACACCACGGCAGATTGACAGGAGGAAAAGGAAACACCCAGCGAGATGCGACGGCGCATTTAGATGACCCGGAACGCCCCATCCAGACAAAAAGTGCGGGGCGATTAATCAGACGAGCATACGGGAGATAGAGGAGGTTTGGAGAGGGAAGCACGCGTCCCTTGAGCTTGATTTAGCGGGGCCACGGGTCAGAGATCCAATCCCCTCCGGAAGATGAAGTAATTACCAGACGGCCACTTTGATTTGTTCCACTTTTTTACAGCCACGTTATTCTTGATTGCATAATTCATTTGGAGGAGGGAGAAATGTCTGGAAAAATGTTTCTATACGCTTGACCTTAATTCCGCCTCTTAATTACACTCTGATATCAAGCGTCAATGAAAGTCTGATCTAATTCCGCCTTCCATTCGACCGTCGGATGTGTATTTCCTGCTTTTAATCTCTGACTTATGATGGTCAAATGATGACGTACACAGGAACAAAGCGACTCAAGTACGATTAGCAGGTCTACAGTTAACAAAAGGACATTGTTTATGGTGTTAAAGGAATATTTCACTAAAACATTTTAAGTCTCTGAAAATGTACTCACCCTCAGACCATCCAAAATGTAGATGAGTTTGTTTCCTCATGGGAACAGATTTGGAGAAATGTAGCATTCCATCACTTGCTCATCAATGGATCCTCTGCAGTGAATGGGTGCCGTCAGAATGAGAGTTCAAACAGCTGATAAAAACATCACAATAATTCACAAGTAATCCACACCACTCCAGTCCATCAATTAACATCTGGTGAACTGAAAAGATGCATGTTTGTAAGAAACAAATCCATCAAGACATCAACGCAACTTCAAACCGTTGCTTCTGGCCAAAATATGAGTTAATAATCCATAGTAACGCTTACTCCAGTGGAAAAGTCCATCTTCAATCCACCCACATATTTGTTTAGAACTGTTTTCACTTGTAAACAGTCCTTGATCTGTGCATATTTCAGACCAGATGACTTGCAGAAAACAATATTATGGAAAGAGAACTCTTTTAGCCGAGAAAAAAAAAAAACTTTTAAAATAAAATGTCTTGATGGATTTGTTTCTTACAAACATGCAGTTTTTGGCTTCACAAGACATTAATTGATGGATTGGAGTGGTGTGGATTATTGTGATGTTTTTATCAGCTGTTTAGACTCTCATTCTGACGGCACCCATTCACTGCAGAGCATCCACTGGTGAGCAAGTGATGCAATGCTACATTTCTCCAAATCTGAAACAAACTCATCTACATTATGGATGGTCTAAAGGTGAGTAAATCTCAAATTTTCATTTCTGTGTGAACTATTTCTTTACCATTAACTGTGTTAATCTTCCTTGCAAATCCTTAAGATTACTACTTACATATAGTTTCTATTCTTCTCCTCTCAGCCGCTCCGTTCCCTGATCCCCAGCATCCGTCCTCATCATCACAGTCTCCGCTGTATCCCTCTCCACTTCCGGTCTCGATTTGGTCCAGTGTGCCCAGCTTTGGGATTGACTTGCCCTGCAACAGCTTGAACACATACAAGACACGTTTGAACCTCAGAATTTAGTATTTCAGTAATTATTTTGATTTATTTTAATCAGATTTTAAACCACATATGAAAGTAGGGTTTGTATTACATCTGATTTCATGTGTTTCTTTTGTTGTTCAGACCACAAACAACTAAACAGACTTGAGTTATACACCAAAAAAAAAAAAAAATCAAACAAGCATGCATTTCCAGATTGCATAAAGCTTTTAATGAAAACATTTGCAAATAGAGCAATTTGCTGTAGCATCAATTGTGGGTATATTCAGCATTCAACCAATAACGACAGGAACACAACTCCATCCCCTGAGATCTGTGCCAGGATATGATATCCTTCAATTACCCTCAAAACTAACTTTTGCAGAGCTAGGACGGGTTAGCATCAATTACAAACACTGAGTGCACCTCAGCAATATCCGCTCAGGGTGCAGGAACATTTAATTATCTCATTGAAATGCAAGACAACCTCTCAGATATTGAAAGCGCTTTGTATTTATCAGGTAGAGCACATTGGGCCTGTGGTAATTAGCAGCTGTAGTGGCTCAATATCTGCCGATTAAGTGGCTGAACTAATGGATTAGCAGAGCCATGATGGATGAGTGACTGCGACTCGCACGCTTAGAGGTCACCTCGAATCGACATGGAAAACTACAATCAAAAATGAAACCATTGGCGAATGGATGACTATGATTTAGAATGGCATACTTAGCATGCATGGATGAGCCACTACATTTGGCAACACGTGCAATGTATTCAACTTCATAATTGCCAAACTGCCAAAAATGACAGCATTTTTAAACAAAATGTGCTTAAAAATGCAGAAGGCATGATATTTGGATGCTACTCACTGAATTAAACATGCAACATACTGAGATCATGTTACAGAACTTTATTTTGATAGACTATAATCAGATTTCAAACCACATTAGAAAGTAGTTTGGCATCAGGTTTGTAAAAATTGGATTTTAATGTATTTCTTTTGCTGGTCAGACCACAAACTAGATTTAATTTAGATAAACAAACAAACAAAAATAATAAATAAATAAATAACTAACTAAATAAATAAATAAAATACAATAGATTTTTTTTATTTGGATTTTTGTCTCAAACAAAACCTAAATAAACAGGAATGCGTGATATAAAAATATCATAGTGACATATTTAACATTTTGTACACTATTTTATTTGACTGCCAAAAGTTATATTTCTTTTTACATGGGCTTAAAAATGCAAAATAAACATATTTATTTCTGAAATAATAGCTACGTCATTCAAAAGTGATATTATTCACAATTTCCTCTGTTTATTTAATCAGACTGCCAAAAACGACAGCATTTTTAGACAAAATTTGATTAAAAATACAAACGGCATGACATCTGGATGGCACTTGCTGAATTAAGCATGCACCATATTGAAATCATGTTACATAAATATAGCATACTGATGTTTAAAACATTTATCATTGCATACTGCAGACTATTAAAAAAACTAACAAGTATGCATTAGTATATGGTTCTATTCCATTCTAAACAGTCAATGAATAAAACAATGTTTGATTCAAAATGGTTGTTTTATGCAAACATATTAATTCAGTTTATTTTATATATATATATTTCATTTATTTACTTCCATTCCACTTTAATAATATGGTTTCTTCACAATGACCTCAGTCTATTCCCATTGTACGGTACATGTCCTTTACTATAAAAAGTTTTGAATGTTTCTCCAGAGGCACACAGGCAGAAAAAGAAATAATACAAAAAACAGCAGCATGCTTCAAATGCATAAATTACTTTCAGTAAGGCCTGTAGCAAATATATGTTACCCTTCTGTAATTTTCTTTCCGACCGTAACCAGAAAGCCTGAAGCACCGAAGGCCTTTATCTCGCTGAGGTAAAAATGTTCAGTCTCTTATCTGTAGAATGACCACGTTCTCCTCTAACGGTGAGGTGCATTGTTCCTCGAGGAATCCTCAATGCTCCTCCACGGTTTGATTGACTGCCTGAGGTTAGTCGGCTACCTGCAGTGGAAGAAACTTCACAATCCAGCTCCCGTGCAACTTTTCAAACACGCAACATGGCAAAAAAAAAAAAAAATGAGGAAAATGACCAGCCGTAGCAGAACAACCATCTTAATCTGAATGCATCTATTTAGCTGCCGGGCAAACCGTTCCGATTCATTACTGCTTCTAACCAGAGGCATAGAAATAATCTGAAAAGTCAGCATAATGTAGCACTTATCAGCTTGGCTCATGAATATTAATTATGTGATCTAAGGTAGTGCTACCTGATTTACTGAAAGACCATAGTTAAAAGCCACTACCATTAGTAAGATTGGCACTTTCAGCTTGCAAGATGCTTGAAAACCTCTAAAATCTCATTTTCTCATTACGGTTCACTGCAGAGCATGACTCTGTCTAATGCGGTAGGTATGACAGGCATGCTGGTCACTGAGTTTATTTAAACACAGTAATCATCTGTAATCACCTCCATAAATATCAGGAACGAAACGGATTCTCATGTTTATTAGTAACCAAAACATCGCTGTCACTGACGTTCATGCTATGAAACTTCCATTCCAGTCGACTTTGAGATGACTTTTTGAGTTTCTGAAGAACTTGTTAAAAAGACTAGGAATGATTTGAAGACCTGAAAGTGAAAATTACATCTCTGGAGAAGCACTGCTTAAAGACTGTCATCTTGTGTGAAGATTATGTGAATCCCAGCTACATTTCTAAGTGGTCAGGTTATCTTCCAGATCTTACCTTTGCTTTTGGCATCCTTTATGTCTGAAACATCAACAGCAACATCAAAAAGATTAAAGATCAAAGTTCAGCCATGAACATTTAAGCAGCACATACATGACTAACTGATCTGATAAAACAAACAAGACACTGAGGCTCATTTATATACTATTTATATACACAAAACATGTCACAAAACATGTTAAACTAATATACTAACTAACATACAGGCGCATCTCAATAAATTAGAATGTCGTGGAAAAGTTCATTTATTTCAGTAATTCAACTCAAATTGTGAAACTCGTGTATTAAATAAATTCACTGCACACAGACTGAAGTAGTTTAGGTCTTTGGTTCTTTTAATTGTGATGATTTTGGCTCACATTTAACAAAAACCCACCAACAAATTAGAATATGGTGACACACCTGTACATATGGTAATTTTATGGCAATTCTTAAACTAGTTGAGAACTAGTTGAGACACTCAATTGAGATTCAAACAAAAGTAAAAGTAATGCCTCTCTCTTTTCTCATGAACAACTCTTCACAACTCAAAAATCCAATTTGGCTCTTCTTAGCTTTTGAGACAGGGCTTAAATTTCTTTTCAGGTTTGACGTCTGACTCCGATCTTTATAAAAACAGAACTGCACATCATGAAATGCTCAGAAGGGCTCTATACATGTGTTCTATAATTCAGGATTGTGTAGTATTGAGCGGTGCACTAATGCAAGCACTGCACAACCCTACGGCCTGCCTTACAATAAAGTACTGTGGTAGTACCATGGTACAGTGATGGGATCACATGGTATTACTATGATACTTTTGAGACACTGAAATGAATGCACCATGGTATTTGCATGGAACTACTTGTAAAAACATGGTAGTAACACAGTAAATGTCCAGAAAACAAAACCATGGTTCTTTTTGTTAGAGCTGGTTGGGATGAATTACATTCATGTTATGTAGAAACATTAATGAAAATAATTTTATGTAAGCCAATTATTAATTATATTTAATATGTGACATTTGCACATTAAAAAAAAAAAAAACAATTCTCACTATTAACTAGTTGCTTATTAACATGAATGTTACTAGCATATTGGCTGTTTATTAGTACTTATAAAGCACATATTAATTGCTTATTCTGCATGATCATGTTTTAGATCCCTTATCTCAACTTAACAACTACCTTACTAACTATTTATAAGCAGCAAATTGGGAGTTTATTGAGGCAAAAGTCATAGTTAATAGTTAGATATTTTAATAGTTAATAGTTAGATGCAATTTTAAATATCACATCAATTTCATTATTATATTAATTAAAATAAATTAAGTAAAACAATAATTCAATTATTATTTTAAATAATAATAAATGTAAAAATAACATTTTATTTTAAATTCTAAATCAAATTTTTTTTGTGCCAAATAAACATCAGCAAATCTCAATTTGGAGGGAGAAAAAAATAGTTTCCTAATATAAAAATAATAAAAACAAATAAGCTATTAACTGAGATGCTAGCTTCTTTTCTTCAGCAGAATCATATTTTAATATATTATTAACAAGGCATTAGAATCTGCTCCAGAGATTCTAGTTGGATCAAAAAAAGCTATTTGTGTCTTCATTTGAAGACAAAGATGGAGGACGGTGCTGAACCAACAATCCTTGCAGATATAAATAATACGAGGACAACATCTATAAAAAAGCAGCATCACTTTAAGTACTATCCAATAATATCCTGAAGAACAGAGTGAAATTTTACTTAATAATAACAAAACCAGTATTACTGGGCTTGTAAACAAGTTAAGGTCTACATATTTCTACTGCCTTGGCCTTGACCATGTGCCCTAACTTACACTCTGTAGGCCTTCGTTTGACATTTACTGTCACTAAAGCTGCTATTAGCGGGTGAAGCACAGAATGCTCTTTGTAGCCTTAATAACAGATTGAAAATGACGACAGGCCACCATTGACTGTCAGTCACGAAGGGCACGGTGGCGAATCGCCCCTCGAATGCCGTCAAACTGGCAGCAACTGGCAGCAACTGTTTCCACATCCTGCTAATGAGTATCTTTCGCTGACAAACGTGCATTAATGCCTTGGTTTGAAATGTTTAATAAGTTGAAAAATTCTTGAATTTTAGGGAACGTTTACACAACAACGATGCATTATAAAAATGTTTTTCCTTTGCGTTTTTCAAAAGTTTTGCGTACAGACGATCCATGTTCACACAGATTCG